TTGCTTTTATTTTATTTTATTTATCACTCACAGAAAATGCATTGTCCAGGGCTCTTGCACAAGCAGTTCCCTTTACATGAACAATTTTTTCCCAAGTTGATTAAGATATAATTGACATATAACATTGGATAAGTTTAAGGTGTAAAACATAATGATTTTGTACATGTATGTATTGTGATATTACTTTTATTTTAATTAATTGTTTGTCTTGTCTTTAAGTATTGAGATTTTAAAAAGCCAATCACACTATTCCTGACCTCAGCTCTTCTCTTTTTTTCTTCTCTAGTTTCAGAAGCCTTCTTGTTTCTTCATGGCAAATTTTAAACTTCCATCATGCTTAGAAAAACTCAAGAATGAAACATACTCAGCAATGGCTCATTCTGAAACACTACTTTCCTTGGTTGTTTGCCAGCTTATCTAACCACAACTTTTAGTTTTATTCCCTGATGCTCTCAGCTCACTGCCTGCGTATTCATGCCCTGTAAGTATGTCTCATTGGCTCTTATGTCTCGTCATTCCATGACTGTCCTCCAATAATTAATCTACCCTCATGGCTTCAGTCATGTGTGAGACTGAAAAACAGAAGCCAAGATAGAAGAAAAAGTGGGAAAGGAGCAGGTAGAGGCTGAGAGAATCATCAGACTGAAATGCTGTCCTGGCCCCAAGTGAACCAGAGAGGCAAGGAAAGTTGAAAACGTCCTAAACTGCTGTGCAGTTCTCAGAACTGTTTCACGGGGTCACTGGAGAATCCTCAAACCTAGGGCCTTAATAGAGGAGTCTCGTCTCCCTTCCATACCCTTTGCTGGAAGCAGCCTCAGACTTAGACAAGATTTGGGAAATTTTATTATGGTCATTAGTGTAATGTCTGGAAAGAGTTTTTCAAGCCCTTTCCAAACCAATAGATGGATAAGAGAATAATACACCAACTTAGCACATTTAATTTAAATATTATTCAGAGGGAAATGGGGGCAGGGTAAATCCCCTTGCTCTTTGATTCCAAAATTAAATCTACATTTCTAATTTTTCAAAGAGATTTAATTCATATATCTGGAAGCATACACATCTCAATTTGTAAGACTACTTTACCCTCAATTGTTTTTATAACTCAGGTATGTCATTTAGCATGACAACTTTCTTATCTTCATAAAATGGGTCATTTTAATAATGCATAATAGTTATTGAGAATTTCATTGAAAACCCATTATTTACAGTAGCCTTGGGGGAAAGACAGGCAACACACTTTATTTATGACTACAAGTTGTTATATGTAACTTTCTGAGTTTAACCAGGTTGCTTAGAAAAAAAAAATACTACCTTCTAGAAGCATCTTCTGTTAAAGCATCTTATGTTCAAGAGAAACGGAACAAATCTGAATGTAAACTTCATACCTACTTATGCTATTCTTTATAAAATTTGGCTCTGTGTGTCAGTCTTCCATGGCTCCTGTAAACAGCAATTTTACCACCAAGTCTCATAAACTTGGGGATCCAAACATGCTTATAACCTACTGTATAAGTCTTACCCCAAACCTGCACAGAGGTCAAAGTCTCTCCCTTTGGCCTTAATGCTGTACTATTTTATCCAAGCAGTAGCTTTGCTCTTGTTAGGATTCAGGCTCTCCTTCAGCTGCTATCTCCGGCCACCCCAGGTAATCAACTCTGCACCCACCACTTACATCCTCAGGAGAACCACACTCTTGCTGGGTTCATCCTGGACCCTCAAAGCAGTAGCAACCCAATATTTCCCAGGAAACCACAGCAGTAAGAGAAAAAAAAATGGTATCCTGATCTGCAGTGCCTAATCTTGCTCAGTAAAGTTTTCTTAAAGACACAACTTGATGCACTTTTCAAGAGGATAGGTTGGCTAAGATTAACATGACAGGTGACCCAATATTCTCTCTTTGTCTTTAATACATACTTACCCTTGTGAGGGTGGGAAAATTTTCCTCTATCCTTCTAAGTTCTATCAGCTGGCCTAATAATTAAATTGACATGAGGCAGATTAACAAGTAAAATAAAATGTATTTACATACATATGTACTGGAACCCCACAAACAGAAAAAGTTCAGACAGAAAAGTAAAAATGAACAGCTAAAGAATGAGATAAGGTGTCCTGAGGCTTAAGAGGGGAGGAGGACATTTCTCAGACAAAAACAGCAGGTGTTCAGTAATTAAAAGTTTGCCCTGTCCTATACATAGGTCATAAAAAAAAAGTTATTTCTGGTAGTAATTCTTATTATGGGCATGACCCCCAATTTAAATTCTTTAAAGGAGAGGCAAAAGTTTTTCTTGAGCTCACAGATTCTTGAGTGCCTTCCACTCAAAAAAATCCACAAGCCGAAGTGGCTCATCTTGGAAGGACCTATTTTGAACTCCCTCATCCACCTTTCTCACTCTTACCTAGCATTTTTATTCTTGGGGCCATGTTTCTTATCAGGTTATTCCTTCAGTTTATACCTATACATTGATAGTTGCCACATCTCTGTCTTCCTCCACAGGTGGTTTAGAATATGGAAAAGGCCCATATGTTCCAAGGGCCTTTTTCAGACAGTATCACCCAAGGCAAGTGGCAATGTGTAGAGTATGCTAAATGTAGAATTTGGCAGACGGAAAACTGTGGCCTCAGCTTTGCAACCCAGCATTGAATGTTAGAAGATAAAAGACAGCAGAGCCCTGGCTGCTGTGGCTCTGTGAATTGAGCATTGGTCTGCCAAATGAAAGGTTGCTGGTTTGATTCCCAGTCAGGGCACATGCCTGGGTTGAGGGCCAGGTCCCTAGATGGCGGCAAGCAGGAAGCAATGAGTCAATGTTTCTCTCACATCGATGTTTCTCTCCCTCTCTTTCTCCCTCCTTTCCTCTCTCTAAAAATAAATAAATAAAATCTTAAAAAAAAAAAAAAAGACTGCAGAAGAAATTTAGGGAGCTAGAACTTCACCGTACTCTTGGAAGGGGGTGATGGTGGGTCTGTCACGTTCCTTGTCTTGGTCCTCAGGTACAGTTCAGTGTGGTGGTATCAGCCTTCTCCCTAAGTGAACTGCCCAGCAAGGCTGACCGTGCTGAGGTGGTCCAAACCTTGTGGCACAAACAAGTGATTTTCTGGTGAGTAGAAAGAAATAGCTTTTTCCCTTCAAGCTTTAAAGCAGCTTCACAGTTTTTATGCTTTTCCTTCTCTACATTGGAGCTTGTCTTCATTCTTGATCATTTTTCCTCCTACATAGAATCCTTTGTTTCTCTTTCAAAATCACCATCCCCATCTCACATAAAATGTGATTTTCTTTAGGACTGCTATTCCATCTGTGAATACTCTTACAGAGCTACTGACATTCATGCATGGGAGATAAAAATATCTAATACTTTTTCTCCAACCTTCTAGCTGGGCCAATAATCAAATTAATACAGATAGATTAACAGGAGAAAGTAAAAAATCAAAATTTTAACATATGCACATGGGGAAATCACATATGCATAATAATTCAAAAGACGATGAGGTAACACTGAGTAAATATGATATTTTGGACAAAGGAGAAAAGTGGAGAAATGGGTGTTAGACTTTAGAAGTGTGAATGGGCGATTTACAGGTCATTGAGGAAGAGCAGAGCACACATGGCAGGCATGTTGTTGCTAGACAAGTCAGAAACAATGGGACACAGGGAGTATGCAGCTAACAGATCCTTACCTGAACCCCTTTTACTTATCATACTTAATTCAAATTTTTAGGCTAAGGCAATATCCTAAGATTCCCTTCCTAAAGTAGGCCTTTCCATCTAAATCTCTTAGGCAAGAAAGGAGAGGGTCAAAGGATCTTTCTGAGTCTTTTGTTTCTTAAAAAAAATAGCTTAAAATCAATATTTCATAAAGGCAACTTTGGGGTGATAAAACTTTGGATCCCTTCATATGTTTTCATGTAATTCAGGGCTTCTGCTCACTCTCCCTTTGTGAACAGATATGGTGGAGAGTGGAACAAAAGCAGGGCACCGCCTTCTCATGGAAGCCAGGGACCTGGTCTTTAAGGTAAGTTTCTTTCTCCTTCTCGCCCTCCTGCTCCCCACCTTTCTGTTACCGTTACTGTTACTCTCTTGAAAACTGAAAAGACTGTCATTCAAAGGTAAGGGTGGTCTCAGGAAAGTAGGCACACAAAGTCATTATGATGCAGAATGGTGGCTGGCAAACTGGGGCCTATGGATCAAACCTGGCCTGCCACCTGTGTGTGTGTGTGAGCCGGGCTTATGTGAGTGTCTGTTGTGTGCAGCTGCTCTCACACTACAAATGGCAGAGTTGAGTAGTTGGGACAGAAACACATTTTGGCTACTCTCTGGGCCTTAAAAAAAAATAGTTTGCTGACCCCTGACCTAGGACATGGCTGAGCCAAAAACTTGATCTCTTTGGGAGTATATGAGCCAGTGTATAATCCTGAATTTAATTGTCCTGGAGTGGGGTTTTTTGAGAGTGGAGTTGCTGACAAGGAGAGCGCCATCCTATGTGCCAAGTTCCTGCCCTTTTCCTGCTGCAAAGAGTTCTTTGTTTTGAGTATTAGAGAAGCAGCCAGCTTAACTCAAAGAATAGAGTTAAAAATTACCAGGATTGAATGTTAAAGGAGTCCTCAGTTGACTGAATGCAGAGATTAATTTATAAGAATAGACCCCTCAGGCCCAGATTAAAGTTTTGTTTTTTAATTTCCTTTTATTTCAGGGAAGGGAGAAGTCACCTCTGGACCCTCGACCTGGTTTTGTCTTTGCCGCAGGGAGTATTACCTCTACCTTTCCCAGCATGCAAAGCTCTGAGCTCAGCTGTGTCCAGAACAAGTGAGAGGGCAAAGCTAAGCCACCCTCCACTGCTTTGTGTCCCTATCCGAGTTCTTGTTTGTGGATTCCCTGCTCTCCCTGCCCCCTGCTCCTATGCTCCCTTATCCTTAGCCCTTCCTGACCCTGCCACTCTCAGTTTTTCAGTTTTATGGTCTGTGGTTCTTTGTCTTACCTCATGTTTTTTTTATGTGTTTACAGTGTCTCCATGAACTTGCTTGTCCCCAGCTGACAGCCTCTAAGCCCCTGGCCTGTAGCTTTTCCCAGGCTTACCATCCCATCCCCTTCAGCTGGGTATGTATTCTGGGAATATTATAGCAGGGAGAAATAGCTTGGGAAAGCAGGATGAAAATGAATCACCGGTGGGAAGAGTTGGAAAATTCACTGAATAGCCTGGAGATTGTAGGTCCTGAATGTGTATGACACAGAATATGAAAAGGGCTGCAGGAATGGGGTCAAAAATTTTTTCCCATATCTTTCTCCCCCAAACAGTCTCTCTATCCTTACCTTAGAACAAGAAGCCAAAGGAGGAAAAGTTCTCGATGGTAATCCTTGCCCGTGGGTCTCCAGGGGAGGCCACTCGCTGGCCCCAGATCACTCAGCCTGTCCTTAAACGGCCACGCCATGTGCATTGTCACCTGTGCTGTCCAGATGGGCACGTGCAGCATGCTGTGATCACAGCTCGCCGGCACGGCAGGTATACAGGCTGTGACCAAAATTAGGGGGAAGTGGTAGGAACCTACAGCCCACCTTGATTTCTCTATTTCACAGGGATTTGTATCGCTGCGCCCGTGTCAGCTCCTGAGGCGATCTTTTACCTGTGACCATGCCATCTGAGCTTCCTCCGTCCCCTGCTGAAGATCCCCCTGAGAGTTGACAAGGACCTGTAACAAGAGTTTTCTTGTATCATGCCTGCCTGCCAAGACTAGAGCTACCTGGTATCCAGGATGGAAGTGCTGGTACCCCTATATGCCTGCATTTGTTTGAGGTTTTAATAATAATTAAAAGTTTTCAAAGAGTGGAAATGGATCTCATGATTCTTATTAGAGGTCAGTCATCCCAGCTGTAATGAAGCAAGTCCTCAGAGTTGCAACGCCTTTCTTCCCACACAAATTTCAAGCTCACCCTCTCCTGTAAGAACACTGCTCCTTCTACCAGAGACCGGGAAGTAATCTGGGGTCCTGGGGAAAACTGCCCCCAGCACTGAGAACTGGCTCAACGGGTCTCAAGGTTCTCAGGCCACCTGCATAGGGGACCAGCAGCTGCTTAACCTCCGGTTTTTCTCCCTCTGTCCTTTTCTTTCATCTGTCTCAGGGTTCATCAACTCCCCCAGAACTTGCCTCATGAGTTTTCCCCAAGAGTTGATCCCTCCATGTGATCTCCATTTCTGTGGACTTATGACACATGGACATGAACTAAAGGGGGGAATGTGGGCAGGAGAGGGTGTGCAGGGTAGAGAGAGTAAAGGGGGCGGATGGGACAACTGTAATAGCATAATCAATAAAATATATTAAAAAAAAAAGAGTTGATCCCTTCAGGACTGTATCTTCCATCTCCACCCCCGTATGGCCAGGCAGCTTTGCCTTCAGTTTGCTTGGTTCACTTCTGTTTTCCCCCAGGCCTTGCTGTTTCAGAGCTAGAGCAGGTCCCATTGTATTAAAACAGTCTCTCTCCCACAATACGCATCAGGAAATAGGCACAATCAGAAATGGTAACAGAATCAGTGTTGTCAAACTAGAAATCTCAATGCCTCACTAGACATTTCCATGCCTGGAGCTATTTTTCAGGGGTTACAGGAAAGGGGAGTCCCTCATGTACTAGTTCCCAGAATGGCAGCAGCACACTCTCAGCCCTACCTGCTTCCTACCCCCGGGAGGCCCCAAATCCCCTCTGAAAGGGTATGGTTCAGGTGTCAGCATAGCCACCTACAAGACCTGGGTTGGGTAGAGAGGGTATGGAAGGTTTAGATTAGATGTCCTGAGTGTCCTGAAGCAGGACCAGATTATCCCCAACACAAAATACCTGTAAAGTAGCTACCACAGACTGGATTAGACCAGCCCCAGGCATGAATTAAACAGTCCACAGCCCTTGGTTTATTCAGGGAACTGAAGAGAAGACCAAGCACAGGGCTGTGCCTGGCAGGGAGTCTGGAGTTTCTAGTTTCAAAGATCAGGAGGGCGTGAGCCAGGGGAGGGGCCTTCACACTGGCAGCAGGCAGGAGGCTGGGGCAGGGCCCCAGTCAGCTGTGCAAGGCTGCGTAAGCAGAGGCAGCATCAAACAGGACCCAATAGCCTCCTGAAACTTGGGGAGTGGACACCGCAGCTTTGACCACCCAAGGCACCACTTCTGCTCCAAAGCTTGTAACTCCATTTGTCATCTGAGGCCTCATCTTGTACCCCAAGGATGGAACTACTAATAGGAGTAAAAATTGGCTGCCTATTTGCCCTGCTGGCTCTCACTCTCGTCTGTGGCCTTATTCCCATCTGCTTCAAATGGTTCCAGATTGAGGCAGCCACAGGTATAGCCCTTCTGTGTCTTTGGCCCTGTAACCTAAGTCTGACTTCAACCCTGTCACCCTATCCTGACACCTTGCTCTGATCCTCTTGCCACCCCAAACTTGGATGTTGGGTGCTGCCTGTTGCTCTTTAGTCACCTGTGTCCATCTCATTTAGTGACTCATTGCCTGCTGCATTGTCACTCTTGCTTTTCATTAGGTCATCACCGCCGGGTCCTCAGCTTCCTGGGCTGCATTTCTGCTGGTGTTTTCCTGGGTGCGGGGCTCATGCACATGACTGCTGAGGCCCTGGAGGGAATTGAATTGGAGATCCAGAAGTTCATGATGCAGGTGAGCAGCTGAGTAGCAGGGCTGAGAGGCCAGAATGATGAGAGAACCAAGGGGAGAAGGGGAAAGTGATGGAGCCAAGGACACGGGTGGCCTGGTAGGGAAGATGACAGCTCTTGTGTTCTGCGGAATGACGAAGACAGGTCACACTGAGCTTTAAGGAAAGCAGTGGAGCTGGAGGACAGGAAGCTGAGCTGCTCCATCCCTCAACTAATTTCTGCTTTTCTCTCCCTAGAACAGGACAGAGAATGAGAGTTATTCCTCTGGTGATGCTAATTCAGCTTATGTAAGTATTTCCCACACCCAACCTGGAGGGTGAGGAGAACCAGAGACTCCTCATACCCAGGCCCTTTTGAGGCAAGGATGTGAGGAATACTGGGAGTCCCTCTGCTCCTCGCCTCAGACACTAAGGAAGGGAGGAGCCAACCCAATCTTTTTGGGTTTATGGAACCCCAGACAAACCTCTTGCTTCACTCTTTCCTTCTTTCCCTGGTCCCTTAGACGTGCTCCCCATCGCATTCCCATATTTCAGATCTGCTGACACTGTGTCCCTTGGCCCCTCTGGTATTTTTTTAATATATTTTATTGATTATGCTATTACAGTTGTCCCATTCCCCCCTTCACTCCCCTCCTTCCTGCACACCTCCTCCCAGACACATCCCCCCCCCTTTAGTTCATGTCCATGTGTCATAAGTTCTTTAGTTTCTACATTTCCCATACTATTCTTACCCTCCCCCTTTCTATTTTCTTCCTACCATCTATGCTACTTATTCTCTGTACCTTTTTCCCCTCTCTCCTCCTCCCACTCCCCTGTTGCTATCCCTCCATATGAACTCCATTTCTGTGCTTCTGTTCCTGTTCTAGTTATTTGCTTAGTTTGCTTTTGTTTTAGGTGTGGTTGTTAATAACTGTGAGTTTTCTGTATTTTTACTGTTCATATTTTTTATCTTCATTTTCTGAGATAAGTCCCTTTAACATTTCGTATAACAAGGGCTTGGTGATGATGAACTCCTTGAACTTGACCTTATCTGAGAAGCACTTTATCTGCCCTTCCATTCTAAATGAAAGCTGTGCTGGATAGAGCAATCTTGGATGTAGGTCCTTGCCTTTCATGAGTTGGAATACTTCTTTCCAGCCACTTCTTGCCTGCAAGATTTCTTTTGAGAAATCGGCTGATAGTCTTATGGGAACTCCTTTGTGGGTAACTGTCTCCTTTTCTCTTGCTGCTTCTAGGATTCTCTCCTTATCTTTGATCTTGGCTAATGTAATTATGATGTAGTTTGGCGTGTTCCTCCTTGGGTCCAACTTCTTTGGGATTCTCCGAGCTTCCTAGACTTCCTGGAAGTCTATTTCCTTTGCCAGAATGGGGAAGTTCTCCTTTATTATTTGTTCAAATAATTTTTCCCTTGTTGCTCTTTCTCTTCTCCTTCAGGTACCCCTATAATTCAGATGTTGGAATGTTTAAAGGTGTCCTGGAGGTTCCTAAGCCTCTCCTCATTTTTTTTTAATTCTTATTTCTTCATTCTTTTCTGTTTGGTTGTTTCTTTCTTCCTTCTGGTCCACTCCATTGATTTGAGACCCAGTTTTCTTTCCATCACTATTGGTTCCCTGTGCATTTTTTTCATTTCACTTAGTGTAGCCTTCATTTTTTCATCTAACTTGTGACCAAAATCAACCAGTTCTGTGAGCATTCTGATCACCAGTGCTTTGAACTGTGCATCTGACAGGTTGGCTATCTCTTGGGTGCTTGAAAGTATTGGCTCTGGGGCTTTGATCTGTTCTTCTGGTTGAACCATTTTTTGGGGGTGGGGGGGTCTGGTCGCACCTGTTACATATGAGGGGTGGAGCCTTAGGTATTCACCAGGGCAGGGCACCCCAGTTGCTGGGTTGTGACTCTGTATGTGGGGGCGGGGTCAGAGAGGGAACAATGGCGCTTGCTCCACTCTCTGTTGGATTTCAGTCCCCTCTGCCACTTTCCATATGCAAATCGGGCCCTTCTGGTGCTGCTTCCCAGGTGGGTGGATTTGTGCACATTCTAGGACTCTGTGGATCTCTCCAAGGAACTCTCCTGTGAGGCTGGGAGTATCTCCCGGCACCTCAACCTCCAAAAGTGTTTTCAATCAGTGCTTTTAGGCTTTATTTCCCAGCACTGGATCCCTGGGTTGCAAGGTCTATCTTTCTGCCCATTTTCACCTGGTTTATCTGCACACAAATATGTGACTGCAGGCAGCCAGCTTCCTTGCGTGCCTCACTGGGTCTGCTCGTTGCTTCCCCATGCCCACACCTGGGGTCTGCCACCAGGGTCTGCTAGCCGCTGCCTGTGCCCTGCGCACCTAGGTCAGCCATTCTCTGTTTTTTCCTGCCGCGACCCCTCTCCACCAGCCTATGACTCTGTCCCTCTTACCAGTCTGAATGAATGGTTGTTGGGACTTCCGTACAGTTCAATTTTCTATCTGTTCTGGCTTTTTTTTTGTTTCTAAATTTTTGTTGTCCTCAATTTTGGTTGTGTGAGGAGGTAGTGTGTCAACCTATGCCTCCATCTTGGCCGGAAGTTCCCCCCTCTGGTATTCTTGTTGAATGTCCATATCTCCTCGGGACTTTATCCCCCCTCCCATTTTTTAATGTTCTAGTCCCACTTTTCCATTCTCTCCAGTCTCCCATCCCACCTCCACCCACTGCACTGCACTGCACTCCTTCCCCCGACCCACAGCCCCTCTCTGTGTTCCCAGACAGACTATCCCTATGGAGAGCTCGTCATCTCCCTGGGTTTCTTCCTCATCTTCCTTTTGGAGTCGCTGGCATTGCAGGGCTGTCGTGGAGCCGATGGAGGATCAAAAGTGCAGGAGGAGGAGATGGGTGGGGCTCATGTCCTTGGACTCCACAGTCACAGACCTCTACCCTCACCCTCGAGGAGTCCCTTTCGAGCCCTCGTCCTCCTGCTCTCACTCTCCTTCCACTCAGTGTTTGAAGGCCTGGCCGTGGGGCTGCAGACAACAGTAGCAGCCACCGTGCAGCTCTGTCTTGCTGTCCTGGCTCACAAGGGACTCATAGTGTTTGGGGTAGGACTGCGGCTGGTGCAGACAGGCACTGGATCACGATGGGCCGTGTTCTCCATACTGTCATTTGCTCTCATGTCCCCTCTGGGCCTAGCCCTGGGGCTGGCTGTGGTTGGAGGAGATGCTGAAGGGGGCCGAGGCTTAGCCCAGCCTGTGTTAGAGGGTGTGGCAGCTGGCACCTTCTTATATGTCACCTTCCTAGAAATTCTGCCCCAGGAGCTAGCTGGTCCTGAGGGCCCTCTGCTCAAGTGGGGCTGTGTAGCTGCTGGCTTTGCCTTCATGGCCTTCATTGCTTTGTGGGCCTAAGAGGTTCCTGACTTTCCTGCGGATCCATCTAGAAGAGTGTTCCCACCACCAGCAGACACCCACAGATGGCTTTGGCCCTCAGACATTTCTTTGCTGAGACTAAGCAGCGTTCACTAGGCATCATCCACATGAACTGGATCCCAGGTTTTCCTCGTGAGATGCCTCTGCTCATCCAGTACTGGGAACAGGATGTGTATGTTTGGCTGAGTACTTATACTCTGGAGAATTGGTACAAAGACCACCACTCCAAATTTGACTCTTGTTCCATTTTTGCTGCTATGTGTAATAAAATGTCCATTTTCCCCTCCCCATTCAACCATGCTATGCTTCATTCCTCCAGGTTACCTAAGAGCTGCCCCGTGTAGTGGGAAGGGTGAGTCTCCTCCTCTGGAATCAGGGCCCCCAGCCACTCTGTCATTTGCAGCCATGCCCCACAGACACGGCAGAATTGCTGAAATTCCAACCACAGCTCTCACCTTGCCTACTGGTGCTGAGGTTCTGAGCCAGAGTTCCCAGCATTTAGAGAAGAGGTGTAAAAACAAAGTGTGGGCATCTAGATTTTTTCCTACACTAGCCACACCCACCCCACTCCCAGTACCTATTATCAGCCACCCACATGTCCTGCAGACTCTCAAGATCAGGCTCCATGGAGCCTCCTTCCATCTGGTTTCTGTTTTTCACACTGAGCCCTGTGACCTCAGGGACACAATTACTACTCTTTGAGCTCCTGTCTCCTTCCAGCTGCCTCATGCTTTGGAATTAAAAAGCAGTGTGTTTGGGGAGGTGAAGTACAGCATAGGGAATATCATCAATAATATCATAACTGTATATGGTGTCAGATGGGTACTAGGTTTATGGTACTAGATTTTGCAAGCTATATAAATATCTAATCACCATGTGTACACATGTTGAAATGAGTATAATGTTCTATGTCAACTGTAATTGAAAAAATTTTAAATTAAAAAAAAAGAAGAAGAAGCAGTGTGTTTGGAAAGGGAGAAAGGCACCAGAGAGATTCCAAGGGCGATTACCTGGCTCTGCCATGACTCGGTGGCTTTCCTTGGGCCTGCCCTACCTGCCACTGTGCCTCTGGCCCCTCCCCCCAGACCATTTGTCTTTCAGGTGAGTAACCCTACAATGTGTTGCTTCTCATAAAAACTGCACAAGTACAAAAACCGGATATCTGGAATTGAGGAGGAGTGGGACGACTGCTGCCCAGCCCCTGGCCCGTGGGATGGAGGAATGTCTCAGACTCGGAGGAGACACAGACAGGGAAGGTGTGTCCTGTGAGCTCAGGCACGCTCACCCATGTGCCCCTTTGTGTTCACTCAGTGTAGCAGCCCAAGTGGCCTCAACACGGGCAAGGTCTCCTGAGTTACACTCTCATCTCATTTCGTTTCTGTCTTCTGTCCATCCCATTCCCCTCCCCACAAATTAAAATGTGTAAACCTCTTCACCAGCCCAGCTTACACAGCCAGGGGTCAGTGAAAAGCCAAGCTAAAGGCAAAACCAAACTAAAACGTCTGACACAGGAAATAATTTCCCTGAAGCACCATCCTGTTCTGCTTCCCTTCACTGTTAAGCACACTCACACGTAACACACTCAGAACAGGGCCTAGGATGTTGTCGTAATAATAGAGTTTCCACACTGAGCACCCGCCATGTGCCAGGCACTCTGCTGTCGCTCCCACATGCATTGTCTCCCCTTCCCAATCCTGCCAGGTAGATGTTATGCCCATTGTGAGTCCAGGGAAATTACTCCAAAGTTAAATAACTTGATCACATAACTAACTGAGCTTCAAACACATGCTTCCGTGATGCTAAGAAAAACTCAACATATAGATTCTCTTCTCCTTCCTGTCTTAACCTTCCCCACCTTTACTTTACTGGTACCTCCTGTCTTGTATATTAGGGTCTCTGGAGAAAGCAGAGAGCACATTGGATAATTGAGGCAAGTTTCATACAGGGAGTATATAGAAGGTGTGAGCAGAGTTGGGACAGGGCAACAAATGTTGGTGCAACACCCTGGGGCTGAGTAACAGTGATGCTGGTACCCGGGCTGGAGAGGAGCCCCAGGAGCTAGCTGGTTACAGAAACTCCAGAGAGCCATCCACTGAGAGCTGTAGCCTTTGGTAGAGGAGCACAGCCAGCCTGCAGCAGCTGGGCAAGGAATGTTCTAAAGCTTCACATCCATCCCACCTGCCACAGTTTCACTGTTTGGGTACCTTCAGAGAATTGCGCTTTAACATCTCTTGATGAGTTCCACAGTTTTCAAGCTGACACCTCAAGGCTCTCATCACTGTATTCTTCTGTTTTATTCTCCTGCCCATTGACCCTCTCTTAGCCATCTTGCACTAATGCCCCTAAAGTCAGGGAAACACATTCCTTGAGAATGAAAGGAAGGGAGAAACAGGAGTCCTAAGGCTGAAGCAGAAACAAAAGGTAAAGAGTTTGTGGTTCAGCTTCTGTGAAGTCACCCCTCCTCTTCTCTGAGCCTCTGAGCTCTGATCTTGAGAATGGGCAGGAGCTGCGATTGTGGTTGTCAGGCCCTCCCTATCTCCCTGAAGTAGAATCGCTAAGAAGAATGGGAGACTGAGGAAGGGAACTGGGAACTGGGGAAAGTTAGGAAGAACCATGCCAACCACAGGGGGGCACTGCGTCCCCATGGACTCGCCTGCAATGTCTGGGACCAAGAAGTAGAGAGGTCAGTCAAGGACAGCAAACCCCTCTCCCTTGCTCCCAGCAGAGAGCATCTCTCCCTCTTCCTAACTCTTGGGTTTTGTGTACAGAGACACCTACAGCAAAGACACACACGGTCACCACCCATTTCACACTGTCCCCATGGCAGCCACATTCACACCCACCCACATAGGTTCACAGGAATGAGCTTTTTTCCTTCTTCCAAAGATTATTCTGCTAACACAACAGTGTTATCTGTGAAGTTTAATGTGCTGAGAAGACCCATCTTCCCTTCTTCCATAACGCCCAGCAGCAGCTATTGGCAGTTGTGGCTGATGCTGTTTGGAGTTCTCTGCCTTTTCTTCGTGTTCTGTTTACCTAGAAGCTAGCTGGGCCAATGATTCTAATTATGCCACATTAAGCACCTGCTACCTGCCCTGTGTGTGGTCACCCAATGCCCTCACCCCTTCTGAACCTGGCCTGCCGCATTTAAAATAGACTTGGTCCTATGAGAGTGATGAAATACTCAAGAACCAAGAGCATGTTCCATGCCCTGCTTCCACGTCAGCACATCAGCACTAGACGTCAGGCTGCATTAGTCATCAGCTCAGTTTCAAAGGAGACGTATAATTGCCTGTGGGTTTCTATAATCTGGCAAATGACCGTGTAACATTCCATCCACAGTATTCTGGCCAATGGTACTATAAACTGCCTTCTCCTTTTCCCTTCTTGTGCCTCAAGAGCCCAAGAATCAGCCTGCAACAGCCACACAATATCTGAAGTTTTCTTCATGATTATTGTTGATACTTGTTGAGAGCCTTCTCAGAGAACCATACACATAGTCTAATTAACTCCCAGATTCTTGGATTGGTATGGGAGGAGGAATTCCTGAGGGGAAGCCCTGGTTGCTGTGGCTCACCTGAAGGAGCCTTCACACTGGGATCCACTGGAGACCCAACAAGCCCTCTAGAAACTGCATGAGGCGTGGCCTGCTGATTTATTGAACCACCTAAAATGGAATCTAGGTGACCTCCCAGAGGATCCTGCACAAAGGTGGTCAAAAGATGTCCTTGGACACTTCAGTCAGCTTTCTGTCCTTCCTTCTTTAAGATCATATTGGTGACATCTCTGTAATCCTATGAATCTCTGTAATCCTCTGAAATCCTATGCTGCTTCTCAGTAACTGATATGGAAGTCTTCTAGGTAGCGCCTCTCACAAGACATGAAGATACTATCAATATCAAGGACAATACCATTCTACTGACTATGGCCAATGACTATGAAGTCACATTTTGTGAAATGTCTGTGCTATACTAGCCCTTCCCATGGTTATGTCACTAGGAGAAGAGACTGAGAGCTGGGCCCGGAGAAGGTAGGAAAGGGGCAGGATGCAGGCACACCGAGACAAAGAATAAAAACGGTGCTCAGATTCCTCTACAGTTTATTGTTACAGCAGAAGCTGTGGGAGACAGGAGAGCACCCTCCACCCATAACACACTCTGGTCAGAGCCCCAGGTAGCCCTTTCCACCCCTATGCCAAGCCCCAAGCAGCCCTGCCCCAGCTTGGCCTCCTCCACCCCCCCACTCTAGACACACACTGTCTAGACAGCTACCAAAGTTAGTGCAGCCAATGGCCCCAGCCAGGCCCCTTCCCAATGCCCCAGCTCCAATCCTTCCCTCAAACTTGTTCATTGCCTACCACCTCCCAGTTCAACTTCCATTCATACCCTGGATATTTCTATCACATCCTGAGGACTACTAACCCACCAGCAAGCCTCCCTGACACATACATTTAGGCCCATATCCTTCAGAAATCTGAAGGGTTAATGAGAAGCCACATCCACTTTGGTGAATGGAGACCCAGCACCAAGTCCCTTACCCTCGCAACGGGATGAGATGAGTAGGGAGAATCTGGGGTAGGCACCATGGACAACAACAACGACCCTTATCCCTCATCTATGGACACCTAGATTAGGGAGAGGGGATTCATCCCCTCTCCACCTTAACACCAGAATGAAAGAGGGGGACCATTTAGGGTCCTGGTTCTTAAAGAGGTATTAGGAAAGGGAGCCCGGATAGCCCAGTCGGTAGGGCATCAGACTTTTAATCAGAGGTATTAGGACAGCATTGACAGAGGCTGAGGGAAATCACAGGCTAGAGCTCAAGGTTAGGGTAGCAATCAAAGACCAGGGTCAGAAGGGGAGCCAAGATGGAGGCACAGGCAGAAACACTTCCCTTCCTTGCACAACCAAAAGAAGGAAAGCAACCAATTTAAAAACGAAGAACAACCAGGACTGCCAGAAAAGCATTTGCATGGAATTCCAACAACCAAGGAGTTGAAGAAACATTCAACCAGATGGTAGGAGGGGCAGAGTTGGACGGTGGGGTGGAGAGGATGAAGCAAGGCAGCAGCTGGTGGACCACACAGGCAATCCCACATTCATGTGCAGACAAGCCTGGCAGAAAGTGGGGGAGCGAGATGGATCTCAGACCCCGGGGTGTCAGTGCAGAAAACTAAAGACTCAGAACTACAGTTTGAAGAAAAGATCTGAGGGGATTGAGGTGGCAGGAGAAACTCCTAGCCTCACAGGAGAGTATGTTGGAGAGACCTACAGGGTC